GGGTGCCTGGGTGGCTCAGTCAGTTAGACGTCCAACTTCAGCTCAGATTGTGATCTTGCAGTTCATGGGTTCGAGTGCTGCATAGGGCTCTGTGCTGACAGCTCAGAGCCTGGAGCCTGCTTTCAGATCCTGTGTCCTCCCTCCTCTCTCTATGCCTCTCCCACACTCGTACTCTCTCAAATATAAATAAACATTAAAATATATACATACATAAAAATAAACGTCTATTCTAAAATCCTGTAACAGCATACAATCACGACATGAATTCCATTACAATGACTCTATTTTATGCCCTCTAATGACTATTGAATTTTATAGGCAGAATTCTTCAAATTTCTCCTTTTTAAATACATTTTCTGTACGTTCTATTAAAAAAAAAGGTACTGCATTCTTATTAAAGAAATTCCTGTTGAAGAAAAATTTAGGAGTGACATATAAGTATATAACAATTTCACCATTCAGAGATCTTTTTTAATTATCTGGTGTATTTACTTCAATTTCACATATTTTTTTTTTTATTTAACATGTTGTTTCCCAAACTGGTATTGAAATAACATTTTTCTGGTAGATGATAATATGATGTTAATATCTGTTCCACTAAGAGCAATGTTCTGTGGTATTTAAAACAGTATAAAAAGGTTTAGGCAATGTTAGCAGAAATCTATGGCAGCTTTCTCAGACCTATAAGGTGCTAACGTTTACTAGGACTTAACTCATAAGAAATGACTTGGGAAGTAAGTCATCTGGAGAGCAAACATATTTCCACATTTACTTCCCACTAAATACATCTTCCTTCTTCATTATTAGCTCTCAGCTTGGGATACACTGAAACTACATTATATTGGAAGGATATTTCCATATCATTAGTTTCAAAACCATGATTTTAGGCTATAAATTATCACTGTCTCACAGTTTATCAAAATTTTTCCCATTTGTTATCCTTATAAGCAAATCTTATCACATATCCATGATTGTAACCTTTAGATAAAGCACTAACGTTTTTAAGAAAATGTTACCAAACTATCGAAATGAGTATACATTTCAAACAGGACTTTTCCACTGAGCTTCTATCAAAAGGGTATTTTGGGCATGCCTGGGTGGCTCAGTCAGTTGAACGTCCAGCTCTTGATTTTGGCTTAGGTCATGATCTCACAGTTGTGGGATCAAGACCCATGTTGCACTCCGTACTGAGTGTGGAGCCTGCTTGGGATTGATTCTCTCTCTCCCTCTCTGTCTGCTGCTCACATGTGCCCTCTTTCTCTCTCTCAAAATCAATTAAGTAAACTTAAAAAAAAAGGGGGGGGGTCACTTGTTTAATATATGTTAGTTAATTTGATTGGCATAAAGTGAAAACTCATTTTTATTTCCATTTCTTTGCAAAACAGGCTGATTTTTTTTTTCTTATTTTTATCAGCCACTTGTATTTATCTTTCCTAGACTGCACTTCAGTTCTCCTTCCCCATATTTATTATCTTTTATCTGTTTTTTATTCTTGATCTTTCTTTGAAATCTAAGTTCCTGAAGTTGGTTCTTCACATCATTGATTTAGTTCTTCAAAACATGAATTCTTCCTTCTTGCCTCCTCTGCAGAGTTGAATCCCACTTTCCCAGTTTTTTTGTTTCCTGCAATCTTGCCTGAAATATGAGTTAGTTCTCTCCTTGCAGCTGTCTGCAGCAGGTTCACAGATACCCTACCTACTACCTTATGTTATGTTAAACTGTTTTCTAAATGTTCTAGTTTTGTAAATACTCCCTAAAATGTGCTTTTCTCATGCATTTTCAGAAAGATAGGCCCTTACCCTGAAGTACAGTATCAGTTAACAAATCAAATGGTGTTCAGGTTTTCTGTTGCCTTTTCCTGTGCTGGTGACAATGTCCACCATCCAAAGAAGGCTTGGCCGGGCTCACCGTGCTCTTGGATGGTTATAGAAATCCCTTCACAGTGCTGTAGCAGAGATACAGATTCATAGGAAGAGTCAAAAGTCCAATTCTCAGTGGCCATTAGGCATTAATGTAAAGCTTGTCTCATGGATGGCAAAGGAACCTTCTCCTAACAGATTGCCGATCTGAAAAAGGATCACCTGAAATCTAAAAGGCCTACCATTCGGTTCTCCACTCCCACTTTGAGTCCATTACCTGGGAGACATCTTCCTTTCAGGATGCAGTGGTCTGCAGCTCCAACTAACCTAATCTTTAATGTCCTTGCTGTTTTCTTTGTTCTTAAAGCTGCTGGACAGACAGAAAAACTACGAGAACAGAAGCATAAATGATGGTAATATTATAGCTTCCTCAGAAAAACAGCCGCCCCTGCAGCAGATGGAGAGCTGCCCCATTTCCTCGATGTTTCAAGATCGTGGGTGTCTGAGCAAGCAGATGATGTTACAAAAGAAGCAAACTACATTTGCTACTTTATACTGATTAGTTTCATTAGATAATCCTGTTTTTCCTAGTCTAGTTCCTTGTAGATGGGGGAAATGCATCAAAATTTCTAGCAATTGAGTATCAGTCTTCCCCCCGCCCCCATTACTGAGTTTGTTTCTAGGTCTTCATTAATCTCTTAGCAGAAAATTAGAAGAGGCTATGTCAGCAAATGCAACCAAATGCTATTTTTAATGGGAAGCCTCTCTAAATTTTAAATATAAGTTCGAATCTGATTATTTCACTGCCAAGCACAAGAACTCATTTGATCCATTAACATAACTTTATTTTAAATAAATTTATTAATGCGGAAAAGAACAACACACAGGAGACCAGAAGGCAATGTTGCTCTCAAAGTCACAAGTATCACCAATGCAGAAATGCAAATTCCTCTTCTTCACTGGTAACTGGCACCCGAAGAATAAAAGTAGACTTTCCTGTTAGTTGAAGTTGAAGGTGGTTACCAAAAAAATTAGCATTATCCTCTACTTTCTGGGTGTTATTACTCATATAGTTTTTGCTAAGTACATGACAGTGTTTTTGTATTTTCTATCATTCTAGAGCACACAGGCTAACCACACTCATTTGCTTATTACTGATGAACATCATGATACTGGCAAGTCTGAAGTACTGGGCCCCATCAATGTCTCATTACCATGCTGACATTTAAATAACACCGAGTAGAGATTCTACATATGGCTCACTTTCACATCCCACACATCTAGCTAACTCTAAAGAATGGAAAATAAAGAGGAAATGCAGATAAATATGTTATTAGAAAAGAGATAGGGAGAGCTTCTCTGAAGGTCTGTCCTGGACACATTTTAATGGTTATAATCCACCTTTGAAAAGATTCATGTGAACACCAGTGAAACTTAACAGCAATTGCTGTAAAGTCAAAGAAACCTGATATAAAATCCGGGCTCTACTACCTAATCGTTGTGTGACCGTAAGCAAGGTAATTAACCTCTCTATGGCTCTGATTTCTGTTTTGTAAAATAAAGGTATGAATAATGTGTGCTTCCTCAGATGGTTAAAAGACTTAAAAATAAAAGATAAGGCAAGTAACATAACTGCTAGATAAGTGCTCTATAAATGTTTGGCATGATCACTGCCCCCCCCCATGTATTCTAAAATAACACAATCTTTACATGATATGGGATTCCACTTAAAGAAGATGAAGAAAGGATGTCTTTGGTAGTCACCCACAATGATTTGCTAGCAACGGATAATTTGCTTAGATTTATTTTTGCACTGACATTATTTTAGCTAGCACCATTCAAGATACCTTAGATGGATTCTGAGAAACAACTGAATCGCTTGTCCTTATCAATTACATAAAAGTATAAGAAAAACTGAATAGACAGAGGAAAAAAACAACAACAAAAACAAAGCAAACAAACAAAAAAAAACCACACACACAAAAACTACTGATTCATCAGAAAACAGGCCCTATATTTAAAAGCTTAGCTTAGGGGCACCTGGGTGGCTCAGTCGGTTGGGCATCTGACTTCAGCTCAGGTCATGATCTCGCGGTCTGTGAGTTTGAGCCCCGTGTCAGGCTCTGTGCTGACAGCTCAGAGCCTGGAGCCTGTTTCGGATTCTGTGTCTCCCTCTCTCTCTGACCTTCCCCCATTCATGCTCTGTCTCTCTCTGTCTCAAAAAATGAATAAACGTTAAAAAAAAAAAAAAAGCTTAGCTTGGAGCAAAGGTTCTCAAGAAAAGCACCTAAGACTGTCCTCTTTTTCAAAATAAGTGATCACATTTTTTGGCTTGCACATGCTTTTTATGGGCTGAGAAACCTATGTCAACTGCAACACAAAGGAGAGTTCCAAACAAAGCATTTCCCTGGGTCCCTCACACCTTTCGAATGAATGACTAGAGACTCATGAGGGTGAAGTACACATTTATAATTATACGAGTCTAGAACCTTACTCCATTTTACATAAGTACATACCATTTTAGGAAAAAATTTAATATGCAATGAATTCTTCAAGAACACACAACTATGTTAACATGCTGATTGCTTCTGACAAAGCTCCAAGCAAAACAAAGCTTTGTCAAAAGCAATCAACATGTTAAGAAAAGACACATAGGGTACATGAGTGATTCAGTTGGTTAAGCGTCTGACTCTTGGTTTCAGCTCAAGCTATGATCTCGCAGTTCATGAGTTCGAGCACCACATCGGGCCCCACATCAAGCCCCACGCTGACAGCATGGAGCCTACTTGAGATTCTCTTCATCTCTCTCTGCCCTTCCCCCTGCTATCTCTCTTAAATAAATAAGAACTTTTTTAAAACAGTCACACGCATTATCTTAAAAGCACTTGTTTTTGAATTGCTAATACAAATATTTTTAACTTGTATTTGTAGCTGTGGTCTTCCTAGTGATGCCACATGTCTGTACAAGAATCTACCATTTCATTATTCCTGGTACAGTCATGCCTAAGCATTTCCATATTGAAATTGTTATTTTTGAAAATGTAGTTGTTAAAGTCTTTCATAAAAAACTTTCATATAATTTCTCCTTCATAAGAGACTTACAGTAGGGTAACATAATAATTTTTTTTTTAATCATTTCAGGATACTCAAGGACTGTTATAGACGAGGCAGCATGGGGTTTGAAGGAAGACAGCACTAGCAGGAAAAGAACTTCACACATGACCTCAAACATATGAATGCAGCCCAGAGGAAACGGAAGTAACGCAGTTACTTTCCTTCAAGTACACAATGAATAAGAAAGAGTAACTTGAACTTGCATTAAGAAAAATTTAGGTTAGGTATTTTAAACACCATCCCGCAAAAAAGGGCTGTAAATCGCCACAATGACTGAGAAATTTCTTATCAGCATACTTCAGCCATTTAAGAATGTGATAAGCAAAAGCTTTGTTAAAAACTAAGTTGTACCATAAACTGTGGCAATTCTATAGTAATTCATTTAATACTTTAACGGTTCAAATGTTTCAAAATGAACTTGTACAAAATTCAGTCTTCAAGTAACAACTTGGGAGCGTTTACAGCAATGTGAAAGAAATGGTGGGCGGGGTGTGCTATCTGTTCAGAATGTTCCAAGTTTGATGGCGGCCTGTGCTGCTAGTCTAACCATGACCTCTCCTCCCCACACCATCCAAAGTCGGGGAGAAAAACAGGAAAAAAAGAAAAAAATAACACTGGCACTGAAAACAGCAAAGCTTATTTTGCGTACCTCTTAATCTAAATACAATGAAAGTTACTTTAAGAAATATGGATTCAGCATCACACATCCATATATATGTAAGCTACACCAGCCCCCACAAATATTCTCGTCACAGAAGTATCATAAAACCACTTGCACCTTTCATCCAAAAATGTAATGTGGGATGAAAAGTAGTTTACCAAACTTTAATATTCACCATAAGGTAAAATTCAGCTATTAAGTATTTTGAATTCTTAGATTTACAACTGAATTTATTAATTCAATCAATAAAAATCTCTGGAGTTAACAATCTCACATATGTGACAGTTGTATCGGTGAGGCTTCAAGCTGGCATGAATCTCTCCAAAGGGGACTTTCTGTTACTTTTACTCCATGAATTCCAAGTTTGGTAAAGTAAACAAATTACCCTTTTTAGGTAACAAACATTTGCTCGTTTTTAATAAATCAATCATACACTACTTTAAATCAGTACTTATGACCAGGGTAATATGACTATTGGTACCAATCTGCGTTGCAGGTCCCTAGGAGTCTGAAAACTCCAGACTGGGGACCATGGGTCTATAATGTATTAAGCTCTAAAAACAAAATAGAACTATTAAAAGCAAACCGATTTTTCACAAATGGACTCTCAATTTTAAACCACCCAATATTTCTTTGTCTAAAACCCAGAATTTTCCCTGTAGCTGAAATTCCACACATGGTCTCCATATCCCCAAAGAAATGCCCTTTCCAGATGAGTTCCTAAGAACAGAAGTATGTTTCTTCGAAGTCAGCAAGCTATTTATAAAAAGTACAGTAGCCCCCAAGGGAAGATCAATTGGCAAGTATAAAATTACCTTTATATAGTGTAGTAGCTGCTATGCCCTTTCTTTTAAGGAGGACAAATACAACAATGATCAAAAAAATAAGGCATGTGGAATGTGATAATTTTAATATGGTGCCTGTCATTACAAGAGGAAAATACTACTGATTTTCATGACCCTGTAAAATATTTGAATTACCAACTAAACTTGCAAGTGCATAAATATCATAAAGCCAAATAATGTACTTTCATTACCACACCTATCATTTGAAACTAGAAAAAGCAACATCTTAAATGTTAAGATATCTTATTTTTAGTAATGTTAAAACATAGCTTACTGATTTATGTAAGTTCTTCAACATGTAAATGGTTTATATTGAATATATGCTAAAATTTCCATCATTGCTTAAAATTAGACATAGTAATGTTCATATATATATATATAAATATATATATATATATATATCTCTGTGTGTGTACATATTTTTGTCTATACAGCTTAATTTGAATTACTTTTCTTCCAAACACTCACTGAAGACCACAGATGATATTTAAAACACTGTCCAACTGATGTGGCCTGCACATACCCAGGAAGAATGGAAAATGGCTAAAAAGAACCAAGACAGCCATGCCAGTGCATCTGGACTAAATTCTGTACCTCCCTACACTTGATCTACCTGTAAGAACCATACTCCCTTGGTATTTGTAAGAAATGCTAATGTCACCGTGCATAAATAGGTAAGAGGGGGGAAATGCGTTCACTCTTAGCACAAGTTACTGAAATAATCTCTACTTTCTTCATCTTTGTCCCCAATCTATATGACCCACTGCAACAAATTTTTATTAATAACCTACTATAGGCCAGACGCTGTGCTAGGCACTGGGGAGAAGATGTACAAGACAAACAAGATCCCATGTTCACAGAGTTATTAACACAAAGTTTATAATCTAGTTGGAGAAAATAAATGTTTGTGTGTATGTATGTTTGTGGCTCCTTCTTTTATTGTAGAGTGCTTATTATATGCCAAGCACTAATGTGACAGCTTTAGGTTACCTCAATTGACTCAGTATCTGCATAAACACACACATAAAAATTCAAGTAACCATTCATTAATGAAAAAAATAACAAAAGAATAAACATTAAAAGATAAAATATGATGAACAGCTATATAAATTAGAGTTATGTGTCCAAAGAATATCAGTTACTGCATGAGGAAAATAAATTAATTCAGGAAATGACAGAATAAAAGTAAATTCAGATTAAATATAAGAAATATGTTCTAATACTAATATTGAATACTTCCCCAAAACTAAATTCTATTGTCACTCAATTCTATCCTTTTAATCTAAAATACTGTGTGTCCATGTTAATCTAATGCAAAATTCAAACCAGAAGTATATTTTTAAACATGCAACTTAAAGAATTTATGTTAACCATATTACTAAATAGTAAAGTTCAGCAAATTATAAATCATTTCTTTTTAAGATTTATTTATTTTTGAGAGAGAGGATGCACATGAGCACAAGTGGGAAAGGGGCAGAGAGAGGGGGAGAGAGAGAGACTCCCAAGCAGGCTCTGAGCTATCAACGCAGAGCCCAACTCGGGGCTCAAACTCACCAACAGTGAGATCATGACCTGAGCCAAAATCAAGAGTTGGATGCTTAACTGAGCCACTCAGACACCCCTATAAATCATTTTAAATTATCATCCTTATCAGACTTCATGGAAACCAATGAACTTGTTTGACCAAGTGCCAATTTGAACCGTCCTTATCAAAATTATCTAAATATGGAAATCTAGCATATCCCTCTATGAGGATGTTAACTTTTGCATGGACTGCCAGATGAATTTTCTTACTCTACCAGTTTACCAATGGGGTTTGCACTATGTTCATTAGTCCTATGAGGATCATCCTTTCACCAGCCAGAGACAGCTGTAATATTTGCTAATACAAAAGTCTGTGAATTTCCAAACAGAAGCATCTATTTATTTAACAAACTTTTAGTGATCACCTTCTACAGCAGTTAATATTTTTTAATACTATCTTCAAAATTGTTTTTATTTTTATTTTTTTTAAATATAGGAAATTTATTGTCAAATTGGTTTCCATACAACACCCAGTGCTCATCCCAACAGGTGCCCTCCTCAATACCCATCACCCACCCTCCCCTCCCTCCCACCCCCCATCAGCCCTCAGTTTGTTCTCAGTTTTTAAGAGTCTCTTATGCTTTGGCTCTCTCCCACTCTAACCTTTTTTTTCTTTTTTCCTTCACCTCCCCCATGGGATCCTGTTAAGTTTCTCAGGATCCACATAAGAGTGAACACATATAGTATCTGTCTTTCTCTGTATGGCTTATTTCACTTAGCATAACACTCTCCAGTTCCATCCACGTTGCTACCAAGGGCCATATTTCATTCTTTCTCATTGCCATGTAGTACTCCACTGTGGATATAAACACACATTGTGTATATAAACCACAATTTCTTTATCCATTCAGCAGTTGATGGACATTTAGGCTCTTTCCATAATTTGGCTATTGTTGAGAGTGCTACAGCAGTTAATATTTAAAGAGAGTGTCCTAGGGGCGCCTGGGTGGCTCAGTTGGTTAAGTGTCTGAATCTTCATTTCAGCTCAGGTCATGATGTCCCAGTTCATGGGTTCAAGGCCCACGTCGGGCTCTGTGCTGAGCGCAGAGTTGGCTTGGGATTCTGTCTCCTTCTCTCTCTCTGCTTTCTCTCTCTCTCTCTCTCTCTCTCTCTCTCTCTCTCTCTCTCTCCTCAAAATAAATAAATAAACATTAAAAAAAATAAAATAAAAAATAAAGAGAGTATGCTAGTCACTGGGTTGGCCACACCCAGGAAGGTAGTCTATCTATTACTCTCACAGGAAATGAAAGAGGAAAGGCAAGTATATTCCAAGAAAAAAGGGAAACACCCATGAGCAGAAAAAGAGATGAGGATATAAAAGCAATCTGGGATATCTGTTTGGAGTGTCTCAGAGAAAACGGGGGTAAAAGGCTAGACTGTGGATGGTGGGGTCAGCCTTAGACAGAAGAGGAGCACTACTTCCTGCACCCTTCCTCAGACCCATGGAGGGTGAACACACAGAATGCAGGCTACAACTTGGATGGGGAAGAGATTTCATCTCTTTGTCTATAAACCTCTAGCAAAAGGATATTTAGCATTTCCTTTCATTATGAAGGTAGGCAACAAATCACAGTGCCAATACCGGTAACCTTGTCACCAGTGGAAATCACAAACATTTTCATATCATATCTCAGTTATTACAGACATCTGTAAAAATGCTGTTTACATTACTAACTACTTTGAAATTAAGGTAGTCACATGACCTCCCACTGGAGCTTATTTCATGCACAATAAACACTCACATATAATATCAGAAGTGTTTTTTATATTTTGAAAACTATCTCATTAACCAAAGGGATCCACGGCCCAGAAAAGGAAGAGCAACCACTCTGAAGCATAAGAGACAAAATAAAGATGGGACGAATTATGTTGTCATTTCCTTCCATTGCCTCAACTCTTTGGTCAAAGTCTGCAGCACAGAAGAGCCCTTGTGTTCATGATGCTGGGCGACCCTGAAGGAACAGTTATCAAGAACTAAGAGGAAGGAAAAGCAGCCACCCAGGGGACAATCTTCCATGTACTATAGGTTTTGACTGAAGGGTTAGAACAAACACAAAGAGAACACACACAATATACCCTGAGACAGGCAACAGCTGCTGTAAAACTCCAGTGACCGAAGACTTTTTACTATGTTTCTAGGACTGCTTTCTCTCTCCATCTCTTCCTCACTTCTCATTCCTATACCTTTCAATCTTTTATCTAGCATAGCCCACAGAAACTAAATAACTAAAAACTTTATTATGCACCACCACACCTAACTGCCCACTCCATCTGTGCCCCAATGCTCCACCGCCTTTCCTCCAATCTGAATAAACACTCTGTGCACTCACGTAAGCACCCATCTCCCTGCCCCACAGTCCCATCTTGGCACCAGATCCCATCTTGTGTGGCTAACTCAGTAACAGCACTACAGCCATTCCCCACCTCACCCCACCCCATCCCCTGCCTTGTATCTCTCCACTAAAGCACTCCCAGGCTTGAATTACTTTCATTAAAATAAAAAAAAAAAAAATCAAAAGCAAGAACTTCTCCTGGACTCATTTCCTACTTCAAATACCATTCATTTCTCAGCTCGTTTTTTCCTCAAGAGAACTGTCTACACTTGCTACCTCCAATTCCAACCCTTCAGGCTTTCCATCAACTCCCGCCTGCTTCTGTCAAGGTCATCACTTGACCACCCCATATGTTGCTGAACTTTAAACAGGATTTAATAAGGTTATCAACTCCTTCTCCTTGAAATATTTTCATCACATGGCTGCCTGGTACACATAATCTCCTGAATGCCCTTCTACCTCACTATTTCCCAATCCTCCTTTTGCTGGTTCCTCTCTTCACATCCCCAACTTCTAAACGTCAGACTGCTCTAGGATCAGTCTTCAAGTTTCTTTTCTATGTACACTCAATCTCTAAATGTCTCGTTCTGTCTATTGGTTTTAGGCAAAACCTCTATGTTAATGAAACCCAAAATTTCTATCTCCAGCCAGGTCCCTTCCCGAGCTCCCCCACCTCACATACCCATTTTAATCGAAATCTCAACATGTCCAAAGATGAACTTCTGGTTTCACCCACACTTTCACATGTCAGTCTCCCTCGGCCCCATAAATGGGAACTTCATCCTTTAATCTGGGAAAATCCTTGTACTTTCTCTTGATGTCTATTTATCTCCCACACATAATTCAAATTCTTCCACTTCTCCCTTTATAATACATTCTGAATTTTACTTTTTCTCATCAGTTCCACCACGGCCACCCTGGCTCACCTGGGGTTGCTGTAATAGACTCCACAAGTCTCTGTCTTGTCCTATCATTTGTCCTAACATTACTCTCCATGCAGAACGATCTTTTTAAAGCCAATGACAACTCATGTTACTCACTTGATTAAAACATTCCAATGACTTTCCATAACACTAAAAATACAAGCTAAAGTCCTTACGAATGCCTGCAAGCCCGAACATGATCTGTTACACCTCTCTGAATACCCACTTAGGACCCTCCCTTTGGATCAGTCCACTCCAGGCTCACTGGCTTCCTCACTGGTCTTCAAGCACACTGGTCGCATTGCTGCCTTGAGTTATCTGCCCTTTGTTCTTCACTCTGTCAGGACTGTCTTCTCCCAAAATAAAATAAAACGTACCTCACTCTTAATATATGAAAATCACTTCAGTGATTATTTCTTTAAAATAACATCTTCCCCCTTTTTTGTACTTCCATTACTGAAAACTGTCCCCATTGGGTACCTTTGGGGAATTAATCATGAAGAATTGTTATATACAGAAGTTCAATTAATTTTAATTCCCCCTTTAAAATGGCTTTCAGGGGAGCCTGGGTGGCTCAGTCGGTTGAGCATCCAACTTCGGCTCAGGTCATGATCTCGCGGTCTGTGAGTTCGAGCCCCGGCATCAGGCTCCGTGCAGACAGCTCGGAGCCTGGAGCCTGCTTCAGATTCTGTGTTTCCCTCTCT